CAAACGAGTTGGTTCGAATGTTTGGTGAAAGTAGACGTCGAGAAGGTGACATAATCAGCATCCATCTCTTCTTTATAGTGTGTTCGTGATGCATACTAGCACTGCGGCGAGTTGTGCACTCTGTGGATGATGCACTCTAAGGGTCTTACTTTCTTGTGCTCGTATCCCGTCACCTGCCATAACCAATCGTGGGATTCCTGGTCAGTTGCCGATATCCGTCATCCAGTAGTGGTGGGCATGCTCCATGCGAATCTGCTCTCTTGCAAGTGGAAGCCTGTCCCGAGAGTTCAAGTGGCGACTGTCCTTACCAGACGACTCCTTCTCGATTGGGCAGACTCTGAATTCGATGCAATGAGTGCTATTGATAAGGCGAAGTAGAGTTGCCCTCGGATTTTCTGAGTTCGAGGAAGTCCGTCATCATGCGGGACTGAGTTCTTTCCAGGTACAACTTAACAGCAATGAGGAATCGGAAGGACATCATCAATCAAGTAGACCATCTTGGGCTCCGGGGAAGCCATGCTTTTACTTGATTGTTGCTACTTTCTGAACTGACGTTTCCGATACATGTAACCTTGTATTTGCGTGCGATATTATGATGAAATTGATCCGATGGAGCTGTCTTCTTGGTTGGGGATAGTCTTGGAACCTCCTTCAAGAACGCGAAGTGACTTCGCCGAAGTCAGTACGACAACTGATGGGGTCACTACTATCAGGACCAGTGATTACTATTGCTCAAGCTATTGGAGTGTGCCTTTGAGCTCGACTAGTGGTTTTGGTCTACTCGGATTCAGTTCTCTCGCGGCCTACAACCTCCTGCCACTTACTAGCTCCGCTCCCTCGCCCGCCGGGCCGCGCAAGGTAAGACTGGAGTGAGATTGATAAATCGGGACTCATCCGTAAGTCAAGTAAGTTCGTGAAAACGTAGGTTAGTGAAACACTCTTATGGCCTTACCGTACTAACCCAAGAATCTTACCTTGAAAGTTTCAAGTTGAAACTTGAGGATTCTTAACTTGAGAGTGAGAGAGATAAACTTAAGTAAACTCGCAACTCCTAACCTAGTTAGTGAAACGAACTGAGGGCGAACTCTTAAGTTTCTTACCGTTCTTACTTAAGTAAGTGGTTAGTGAAAGAGGCCCCATGAGAGAAAATGTGGCTTACAATGTGAGTCTCATACCCTTGCCCCGAGGGGCTCGTGGATCAAGATTTGTCGGGCATATGCACAAAAGCCTTTTGTCAAGAGGTGTTGCCGAAGCTGTTACATCTTAGATGTACTCTGCATAATAGTCGAAGATTCACTCGCTTTGCCCGGGCATGCATCGCTCGAGAGTTGATGGATTCCAGCGGAAAGAAAAGGCGAGAGATGGTGTTATTTCTCTCTATTTTTCCATCATTTATTTTTCGGAAGGAAAAATAGCGCAACCTTTATGCCAACGTCCGATGGTCATTGACCATCGGACCAATGGTCAATGACCATCGGATGATCATCGGATGACGGTCAGACGATCTAATGACTCTGGTTTTATAACTCAATGAACCACAATCCTTATTCATCGGATCGGGCTTCTTAGGAAAAAAGCTACGTACTCACGTGAATATCGATCACGCTTTGTACATACGTACTGCCAGGCTTCTTGTTATCTTGAGCACTTCTCAATCATCTTCCGCAGGACTGCGACACCATGTAGTGAGGTGAGGTGTTAGTAGTAACACCCGCACTGGTTGCACTGGACCTCTGGACAGTGGGCGTAGCATGTCTAGCATGACCCTCGACCACCCACTCTGGTTGAGGCCACAGTGACTCATTGTCAATGAGTGTTCAACAGACGAGCCTTTAATTTCTCGAGTCAATATGTTCGAAAGTCGGTATGCTCAACTTGGCAGTTTTGGACCTCCCCGCGGTATGGCATGTGCCGCTGTGGTAACATCACTTTTTTCCACGTGACCTGACTCTCGTCAACTGAACACAACCGAGGACGCCAATTAAATCCAGAAAAGAAATAATTACCTCGGAAAAATACCTATCTTTAAAAAGTCTATGGATAAACCCTGCTAAGCAGGCCCTGACGACTTTGTCAAAGACTTCCAATGCTTCGGCTACGGTCTCTTGAGAAGGTGCTTATCCGTATCCATCCGTATCCATCAGCCACGAATCTTGACCGAATCAAGTTAAACCGAGATTAATATAGAACGACCTCATGAACTTCACCTAATGTTTACCGCACAATTCATACCGGAAAAATAGAGATTGAAAAGATTGACATCGTCAGCTTGGAAAAATGGAATCAGAGAGACCCACGGAATTAATCACGAGGCTACATTGCTCTCCTCATGTGATCGTCAGAGCACCGCATATCTCAATGAATGGAGAAAATCACGAGGCTACATTGCTCTGCTCATGTGATCGTCAGAGCAACGCATATCTCAAGGATTGGGGAAACGCACAAAAGGCCACGCGCATACGCACGTATTGCTATGAAACGGGTATGGAACGTCATGGACCACTGAGCAAAAGGAGGGACGATATCGTGGCAGAATTGACAGTGTCAGGCCGACACCCGTACAACGATTCTGGATGTTAACTACGGGTATTTGAGGATGGGAAGACCATCCATAATGATCCGTATGATAGACTGATTCCAGCATCAGTGATGAGGCTGCTAGAGAATGATATAGCCTCCAGAGAGGGCCCCCGGAGCAACTACGGGGCAGGCAATGATATATGCGGCTACATGTTTTCGACAAGCGCATGGAAAAGAGAATTGTTATCCCACGGAAAGAGATCAGCCCGTGCTTGGTCTGGTAGTGATTGTTGCAACGAAATACCATGGAGCCCATGCTCGTGAGCCACCTTGATCTTGTCGACAGCACGTGGCTGCGAAAAGAAGAAGTAGTCCCCATTCTTGTTGTGGTATCTGCCGTTGCCCTGTGGGTCCTGATGGAATCCGTATATCATAGACGAGTAACCGACATCGGCAGAATCATAGGTAGCTCGAGCCAGAAGAGGCACCTGAGATGGCGACCGAAACTACAACTCCAAGGGCAAGCACGGGACATCGGTGTTGTGCATATCGGAACCACTACTACAAGAAGATAACGAAAGGAAAACTAGAGGATCTCACTATAATTCAACACTGGCGGTGAATGCCCACACTCACTTGTAGAACATTTTGCCGAGATCCACGCAGCCGCCGAGGCGTTTAGGATGGTTTGCTTTGGCAATGCGTCCGTGTTGACGCGGCCGTATCGTTTTGTCATCATATCGTGGCCATAATGAA